GGTGACCAATAAGGTCGGCGGAGAGCGGATAAGAGTCCCAGAGTCGGAGAACGATGGACCGCCTCCCGGGCCCATTCCACGGGCCCGCCAATAGCTTTCCTCTCTCCTTTTAATATGCGAACACTCGCCGCCGTTCGATCGCCGTTCCCCTAATGAAAAAACTCTATCTATCGGATAGGTGTTAGATTCTTGGTCACCGTCGCTCGACATTTCTTCCACCCGCTCTCCTCGCCCTCTTCTTCCCTCCACCAGCCTCTGTACGTGTCGTCTCCTCTTTTTCCTCTCTCTCTCTCTCTGTTAACGTTGTCCATTGTACCTTGGATGGATTACCAGTCGAGCAATCAAATGGGTTCTGGTCGAGGCTAATCGATTCGAACGGTAGGATCGTATTTTTCTTTGCGTCACGAATTTTATTGCTCGTTTGCAAAACGACGCCTCTTTTTTGCAATTTTTATAGAATCTATTCCTCTTTTGCGTTCTATCAAATTCTATTTGACAAGGAAGAAAGGGTAAAAGCGAATAGCCGAAAGGTAAGGCGACCGTGTTCTTCGCGTGCCTCTGTGCAGGAGGGAGATTCAACTGTGTGTCCAAAGTGGTGGCGCAACGGCCTCCCTGAGCGTACAGGAAGAAGGAGTCTAGAATGGATGTAGCACACGTGGACACGTGGAGGAATGGAGGAACGTAAATGTACGAGGACGATCGCGAAGAGAAAAAGGGGAGGGGGAGGGGGGGAGGAGAGAGGGGCAAGGGGGTCAAAGTCGTGACCACGTCGTGTCGGGCTGGAAAAATGCAAAAAGGCGCCACTGTAACCTGAACAGAGCCCTCCGTATCACGTGACGACTCCTCCTCCTCCTCCTCCTCCTGTTTTTTCCACCGATTATTTCGATCATTCTTCTTTTTTCCAACCTTCCTTTCTACAACGAAATGCGTTGTACGCATTTTTACGAAGGATTTCAAATGGATGATCGTAACTTGAGAAATTGAGAAGAATGGATTTTCAGGTTTTTTTTTCCTACCAGATGAAAAATGTATATAAAATATAAAATGGTATTGATAGATAAAATTGTAGGGTAAGTTGTTGTTCTTCTATTCTTGCTTCGTTAAGAGGAGGCTGATGACCTATCGATACCACTTTTCTCTTTTTGCCCGGATTAGCCGCTAATATATCGTAACCTCGTGTCGCTAACGGATTCTTGGATTAGCAACAAGGGGCTTTTTGTCAATTAAGATTCTTCGATAAGATTCTACGTGGAGCACGTAGTATCTGTTTCAACGATCTATGGAACATATATCCGTCCAACCCGTCTGGTTCGAACGATCCCCCCTCCCCCAAGCATTGAACACGTCTCTCCAACGTTATTCCAAATAATTTCTAGGCTGTATCCAAAGATCTGAGAGGAGGGGAACAATTTTTCCAAGTTTTACTCCGTTAACTCGTACGGTACGTTACCCGTGGACGAAAAACTGACAATATAAACTCGTTGCATACGCAATCCTTCCAACATTTTTTCATGCAGCAAGAAGAAATGAACGATCCAATGAATATAATCACGTTCTATTATATATTCGATCGATATTTGTCGTAATCGTGTCTTGCCGCATTGAAATTAATTACAATTAATAATGCCACGTGTCTTTTATTCTCTGAATAATAAAATTCCCAGATTCGTCCACAATTTATCAACGTATCCTTGTTGTACAACTCGAATAACCTTATTAACAGTAACATTTATCTTGAATAAATCGCGGTGGCCGATTGAATAGAGAGCCGAAGAAGAGAGAGGAGTAAAAAGTTGTGGATGGATCTCTATCTCTATGGTGTTATTGGCAACGTGTTAATAAATCTGGTCGAGATATTAATCGATCGAGGGCGAATCGTCGTGGTTAACGGGACGCTAACGATGCGTTGCTATTCGCCGCGTGTTAAGATCAATCGCGACGCGTGTAACGATGCATCTCATTAACGCAACGAAGGGGAGAAGTAAGAAGGGAACCGGTCGAGGAAGGGTTATCAAGACATTATTACGATCCTTATACAGCAGGATAATGGCCGATCAGGGAACGTGCTGTTCCCGGATTAACGAACCTCTATATTATATTGTCCCCCCTTTTTTCTTTTTTTTTTTTTTCTTTTTTTTAGTTGGATTGGATGAGATTCGCACGTTCGCAAGATCGTTAAGATGATGGAAGGCAAGGTTTTTTTTGCGCGAACGATTTTATATGCGAACAATCTTTCAAGAATTTCGTGTATGACTTTAAGAGGAGTAGTTATTTTTGAATGTTATTCTGGATTGGTGTGATCGAAGGGGAGGATTATGCGATAGGAAAGGAGGCGAATGATAAAACTTTTCCAAACTGAAATTAAAGAGAAAAATACGGAAGGAAAGTGAAATTCGAATGAAATAAAATGAAATAGGAGTGGAAAGGGTTGAAGTCGCGTATATTTCAAACGTACGAAGATGTAGCGTTACCCGTTTCTGATGATTTACTATCCAGATAAAAGGAGATAAAAATCGGGATAGGTGCTCCATTCCCACGGCGTTCGCGGCTACAAATTATCGAATGCTCCAAGATCCGAGAAATACAGAGATTTGTGATCTGACTGCAAAATCTACACGTGCGCGGCCCCCCTCTGAATAGAGCTAGGCCTAGACACTTTCACCGTGTTCCACGATCGATATCCAAAATGTCGTAGCCAACAACTTCCAACACGTTCGCCAACTTGGCTTATAAATTATTAAAATAAAAAACAACATCTCTGAGATTACAGCCTGTAAAGAACCATTAACCGTTAAGAAACATTTCGATTCTCTCTACCTTTGATTTTTCCTTGCCACAAAATCGACCTCCGCAAAATTTAGTATTAATTTTGAATGTTAGAAGATAAGAAATAATTTAATTAAATTCAGAAAATTATTCAATCTTGGATTCTGATAATTTAAAATAAAATTCCGAAAATATGAACGTACGATCTCGAGACCGAAGCCCGGATAATCCCAATAATAAGAAGAAACCCTTGCAGCTTTCAAGAAAAAGCTGGCTCAACTACCAAGCCAATATGCGCGAATATATTAAATCGACGTAATACACATTGTGTATTACTCGATAAGTCTCCCTATCGTCTCTCCCCGTCTCGTATCCGTACTTCTCTGGGGAAGGGGGGGGGCAGGAAGAGGGGAGGAAAAAAAAAGAAAAAAAAAAAGAGAGCAGAAAAAGCGGGTTCAAAGCGGGCAAACACACGGCGAGAGTATAGAAAAAAAGGGGTAGAGAAGGGGAACTCGGTGAAGGAATATGGGGCCTTCTCGCTCGGACCCGGATACACTGCGGGCCCTACACCACCCCCACCCTCGCTCTCCGTTACTCCGGCTCGGTGGTGGGGGGCAGATGCTGGCTGCAGCTCGGCGTAACGTTCGCCGGGGCAAAGAAGGAGAAAAAGAAGAAGAAGAAGAAGAAGAAGGGTAGGGTGGGTGGGGAGGGAGGAGGAGGGGTAGAGGAAGGGGAACTCGGTTTTTCGCTCAGGGTCAGAGGCGTACATCACCCGAGTGCTCGCGCGCGCGCGTTCATGTAATAGACTGACGATAGGCCCACGGATTTCTGGGTGTGTGTGCGTGTGTACGTCCACGTTGAACGTACGTCCAATGGGAGTATAATTTTCTATCCCGTGGTTAATACGATCGCGCTCGATCGAAGGGATCGATCGGTTGAGTGACGCCTGGGTAACGAGATGTCAATAAGGGATTTATAGTTTTTATTTGTTCTCCGTTTCACTCTTTCTTTTCCTTCCTTTTTTTTCGAAATTTTCGAAAACTCGGAGGAGCAGGAGTTGTCGGCAGTTTGGACTAATTACGGTGCTCTTTATTTGGATTATTTTAATATCTCGAGTTTAAGAGGAAAGATTCGTTTCGATATTGAAGATGTTAAATGAGATAAATAATTACATGTGTAATCCTATCGTAACGTATACGCATACGTAAACGAATCTACGTCACGAGCATTCATATCATCATTTTCGTGTTATAATTCTAGTTTTCTACGAAAAAGAAAAATATTGCGCAAGAAATATATATACGCTTCCGATCAAATTCGTTCGCACGCTAATTAATAATTATATTACAGTTTCACGATATGATTACGAAAATACCAAGTGAATATAAAAGCATTTGAGAGCATTTCTTCACCAAAATGCGTCGTTCATCGCGAGATTAAAATTAATAAATCGAAATCCACATATTCGTCCGAGCACGGCCTCTCGACCACGTGGTTTTATAGAGAGCATCAGCGCACTCGCGTGAATATTGCATGAGGAGGGTCCTCTCTATTCGCGCTTACTGTTACACGATACGCTCTAGATTTGGGTAGAAGTTGGATAGGCGACGGCCAATTTTGTAATGTCCCCGTGTCGCGTTTGGTAATCCGGAAGTGATTACACTACGGCGTATCGGCGACGCGACATTTATTCGCTACGTACGCGGAATATTCGATCGTTTCGAACGGCAGATGGACCTCGGTGAACGACGACGTTCCTCAACGACGAAGGTCGTACGCACTTTTCGCGTGACTTTTTTTTTTTTTTTTTTTTCGCAACGAGTCACTGGATGGCCACGTGGTACCTGTTTGTTTTTTATCTTTCGTTCTTCGATCCTTGTTTTTTGATAACATATTAATCTGATCACTGGTATATACGCGATTGTGAAAGAAGATGGAAAAATGGGATGAATGTGTAAGAAATGATAGATAAGATTTAGCTAGGGGATCTTATTATGAATTATTTTGTAACCGAGGAGGGTATAATATTTGATTATAAATGCGATGATGAATTTTTAAATTTTGAATTTTCATCATTATATTTTTCAATCATTTTTTCGATCATTCATCGATAATAATAATGTATAATTTTGTTTGCAAAGAATATTAATATAAATATTATCATTGTAAATAACGATGAATGCAAATAACTGTACCGATAATTAATTATTCGAAATGCTTTTATATCTTTACAGATCCGACGAGGACGATCCCAGTGGGTGTAAATATAGAAGGTTGGAGAACGAGAATGTACAGGACAAAGAAAGATTTGCGAGGTGAGTGTCAGGCTCGACTTGCATGCTCTTCGTCTTGCGATAATAAATGAGAGGAGTCGGTGAATGGGTTAAACATTTCTTCCTTTCTTTCTTTCTTTCTTTCTTTCTTTCTTTCTTTCTTTTTCTGTCGGAAAAATGCGTTCTATTCCGATTTTCTATTCATTTGGGATATAAAAGATATTTACGAAGTAACGAATAATATTGTTCGTTCACAGTCAGAAATCTGGTTATTGAATTATTATTATTCATTATAATTGATATGAAATTATTGCAAAAAGGAATATTAAATCAGAGGAAATTGATTAACATATCACGCGTTTATAAAAATGAGATAAAATGGTAAAGTAATTATTTTTCACGTGCGTATATACGACGTTATTGTTCAGTAATTGGCGGTGAGATTTAATTTTCCCGCGAATCATAAATCATAAATCAACGAACGACGATACCAAATTGCCACGATGATAATATAATTTTATTTTTTTAATCGTAAAAAAATTAATGACACGTATACACGTCAATAACAGTGTAAAAATTAGCAATGTAAATTATGCATATAAACTTTGATACGAGATTTATGTTGATTACACATTTTTTTTTATCGCCTTCGATAATAATGCATTCGAGAAATCTTACACTCCTTTCTGCAATCTTCTGTTCTGCCTCGAATCGTTTATATCGTCGATTCCTAATCCACAGATAACGATATCTGAAATATTAATTTTTCGAAAGATTCATTGCAATTATTTATTAATCGCGTAGAAGACGCTCTATAAAATTTTTAACGCTTTTATCAAGTACAATTCAAAGAGAAAACATTTGTCTTTGTTATCACGCATAGAAGACACGCACAATTTGCAATTTCAATATCATCATCGATAATACAAAACGATAATTTTATTAAATTCGAATAAAACCAATTCCTTGCGTGAAAAATCCCTCCTTCGATTTCCCTGGAATCGAAAAAAAAAAAAAATTCACGAAATGGAATCGTTTGTGCAGAAGAATACAATTGGCATAAAGATCTTACTTGGAAAGATGAAAACAAGTTAAGCGTGATCCAAAACTGCTTGTCCTCCCTCTGTTCGACAAGAAATTTAACTTGGGTTTGACGAGTGTAAAGGAAAGAGAAGGAGGCAAGGAGAGGGGGAAAGAAGCTCTCGCTCCTTCTTGATACGCCCGCGTAATTGTTAATTCGTCTCACGAAATCGTGGGCCCAATATGTTCCACCCGGTACACCCTGTACATGGCCGGCCAAGTACGAAGATACATACATACCTACATGATACCCGCCAATGCGAGTCGATAGCGGAATGGGAAGCCCTCCAGCCTGCTCCAGCGTGGGAACACGGGCCCACTTGTACGCGCGCAACTCTCGCATAAGTCCCATCCGCGGCGAAGACACCGATCTC